CAGGACAGGAGGGGGGGGGGAAATAGTGGGGGGAGGCACCCAATACAGATGCATTGTTCTCCCTGCTTGACCCCCCCCATCCCACCCCTCCAATTGAAAAATCCGCCTGTATTGTTGGCCATAACACAGCGCCCAGAAAAAGTTTGCAAAGGAGGGAGGGGGGGCAAGGAGGGAAGGAAGAGGAGGTGGGCTAAAGGCTTTAGTATTTTTTTTAATGGGGGGGGCAAGTCTCCCAACTAATGGGGTTTAAACCTACCAAAGCAAGCTTCTCTCTTTCCAGATCATGAACTTAATCCCCCGTTTTGTATTTTTTTTAAAAAAGGGGGGGCGGAGGGGGAAGACCCTTTGCAATTTCAATCATGCTGCGGGGAGATTTCTCTTTCTCCTCTCTATCCCACTTCCCCCCCCTTTTTGTTTATTTTTATTTTTTTTTAAAAGCAATGGTGGAAACTAAAGTCAACTTGGCAAGAGGAGAAAAAAGCAAACAAGATTGAAGGCCTGGAAATTATGTGTTGGCTTTTATATAGTTTTGAGAATAGCAAAAGAGAGGCCCAAGGTAGGCGGGGAGGGCACAGAGGATGTGAGGAGCCAGCCAAGGGTTTGGGAGGCTTTTTGCTAAAAAGGGCTAGATTTGTGTCTTGAAACTAGAAAATCATGGAAGGGTTCTTCCTTTTTTTTTCTTTTTTTTTGCAGAAGCCTTCAGATTTTTTTTTTAAATGACACACACCCTGGCTTTTTTTCTTGCACAAAACCCTGCAACTTTGTCTGCCTGGTTGCATCACCATTTTAAAAATAATTTACTGTCCAATTCGGAAACATTTCTTCCCCCGAAAAGAAGCTTAACACATAAAGTTCCCTAAAGTCTTCATCCCTTCCTCCTCCTAACCAGGATCTTTAAATGCACACATCTACATAGAGATTCTCTCAACCATCCCATCAGGGTTGTTGTCCCAAAGGTGCTTTTCCAAAAGTCAATTGAGTCTCTATTTTTTTAATGCACCGACAAAAGTGTCCAAGTGCAAACCGATTTTCAGAAGGGGCCCTAAAATCAAGACTGTCCAGTTGTGCCTCCCACTCCCCTTTGCAAAATTCCACTTGGAATATTTAAAAAAAAATTAAATTAAAAGCCCCTTTGGGAGTATAGATTTAAAATTTTCTATTTCTTCTCCAGAGAGGTTGGTGGGACACACATAGACACTACAGAATCAGGCTGGGACAAAACTCACATCCCAAACTTTGATCTTCCTAACCTATAAAGCTGCCTTTCCCCCCCTCCTAAAGTGATGCAGGTGCAAGAGGATTTAAGGATAGGATCCTGGCATCCCAGGCCGGCTCACCTGAACTCCCTAATGTTAGATCCCCATCTCACCAAGGGGGAAGCCCAGAGGAAGTTTCCAATCAAGGAAGCGCCCACCCATCCCCATGCTCAAGTCTCAAAGAGGGTGGTGGGCTTTGTTTTGCAAACTGCGGACATTTTGGGGAGGGGGAGGGAGGCTGGGATAGGAAAGGGGGAAGGAGGGGAGTCAGCGTTGGCAAGAGTCCCCATGCAAGGCGCAAGAGTCCCCATGCAAGCCGGTGGGTTTTGGGGGGGCAGGGAGGGGGGTGCTGCTCCGCACGTACCTAGTTCGCAGAGTCTGCTCAGGTGATAGGGGTTGCAGCAGGCTAAGTCCAGGTGAGTTTTCCCGTAAGATTCACAGCCACAAAGCCGCTTGACTTCCGAGCCAGGCCGGAGATCGGGCCATCGGAAGATTTTGCAGAGGAGCAGCGGGAGAGAGTACCAATGCTGGCCCAGTTTGGAGTCCACCTTGGTGGGCAGCAGGAGGCAGGAGGTCCGGGTGCCCCCGCGGGATTCGACGGCTTGGAGCAGGGTCTCCAGGTGCTTCTCCTTCAGCCGCTTCAGCACCGAGTGGGCCAGCGCTTTTAGTTCAGCCTCCGATCCGCCGTGCGCCTTGGCCGCTTTCCCCGGCTTGCCCAAGCAGCAAATCCGGCTCCCGCCTCCTCCTCCGCCGGCCCCATGAGGCCGCCCGTCCGCAGCGCCTTCTGCGACCTCGCCGGCGCCTTCCTCCCCGCCGGGCGCCCGGCTCCGCCAGAGTCTTCGGACGAGCACCGATCGTTTGGTCCTGAACATGCGGGACGAGAAGAAGGCTCCCCGGCTAAGAAACGGGCATGTCGTCCGCAATTCATGAAGGAGTCGGGAGCCGAGTCCAGGCAGCCAGGAGAAGGAGCCTGAAATGATCGGGACGAAGAGGGAGCTGGCGGGCGGCGGAGGGGGCGACAGGGGCTGCGGAGACGGCGCGGCTGCTGCTGGAGCGAGACCCAAAGCGAAGTGCAGCATGCGCCGGTCTCTTAGCGGAGGCTCGGTTGGAAGGCGCCCCTTCCCCTTCTCAAAGCCGCCGCCGAGGGCGGCAGTTTATGGGAAGGGGGCGCCCGGAGCAGCAGACCCCGAAACGCGGCGGCGGCGGAGAAGCTCGGGATCCGCCCGCCCGGAAAAAACCGGCATGCCAAGCCGGGACTCCTCGGTGGGTGGTTGGGTCGCCAAACCGAAGCGGGGGGGCTCAGATCGTGCCCGGCGGGGGTTCTCTTCCGAACCCTTCCCGCCGCCGCCCCCCGCCCGTCCTCAACCCTCGGTCGTTAGATCCTCGGCGGCGATCCAAGGAGATCGAGACCCCCTCCAAAAAAAAAACCCCAGAGGGGGGGAAAAAACCAAGCCCAAAAAATAAAAGAAAAAGAAGTCCGAGAGATCGCTCAGGATCAGATCTTGGGGATCGAGGCAAAATCTACCTGTTTCACACGCACAAAAAAAAGAAGCCCACCAAAAGAGGCAACAGATCGAAGAAGCCCCCTTGGGTGTTGGGGCCAAACCCGACGCCCGGTATCCAAGGGCCACCAGCAGGCTGCCCAGCGGTCTCCTAGAGCTTCTCCGGGCCGGAGTCCCGTCGCCTTTTCCGCTAGCCGGGGTCTCCTCCGAGGAGGGAGGACGGGGTAGGCGCGCGTGCCTCCTCCGCCGGGGCGCCCCCTTCTCTTCTTCCTCCTCCTCCTCTTCTTCTTCTTCAGCCCTGGGAGTCGCCGGCTCCCTCGGGACGTGTCCGCCCTTCGCCCGGCCCGCTTTGATCTGCCTCCCGGCCCGCCGGACGGAGCCGCGCTTGTTTTGTTTCCTCGCCCGTAGACGGAGAGAGAGAGAGAGAGGAGAGGAGAGGCTGGAAGCGCCGCGATCTCCTCCTCCTCCTCCTCCTCTTGCAGCTCTCTTCTCTCCGCCCCTCCGCGCGTCTCCCCGCCGGCGCCTTCTCGCGGGCAGCCCCAGCAGCCGAAGGAGGAGGAGGAGGGCAAGGCGGAGCGGCGTCCAAAGGAAACCCCGACCGGGGACGGACGAACCCAAGAGGGGGGCCTGCGGCAGCCTTTGCAGTCTTTGGGGCAGCGGACGCTGCAGTGCCCGGTGCTCAGCAACTCCTTCTCTCCCTCTCTTCTCCCCCCCACCAGCGTCGGCTTAGCTCGCTCGCCGCCTCCGCCTCCTTCCAGTTTGTGCAGACGGGGAGGAGGAGAGGGAGGCGCGCTCCCGCCCGGCGGAATGGAAGAGGAAGGATTGCGGGCGTCGGGAAAGGGGGGAGGAAGGAATCCACCTCTCTCTCTTTCTCTCCTTTCGCCTCCCCCTTTTTTTCTTCTCCTTCTCCTCCTCCGGCCCTCTCCCCACTTTCTGGCTCGGCTTCCCTCCTTGCCTTCCTTGCTCCGCTCCTTGCCTGCCTGCTTTCCCTTTTTTTCCTCCCCTCTCCCAAGAAGGTGCTTTGCACGACCTC